CCGCGCCGAGCTGGAGGTGCGGGGCCCCCGGCGGCTCCCCACGACCCGGAGCCGCCCGGCTTTGTCCTCCGGCCCGGCGGGGCAGGGGACCTGGCCCGGGGCTTCTCGCGAGCCCGCCCCCAGCCGGGGCGCAGTCAGACCGGACTAGAACGTTTTTTTAAAAAGAGAGAAAAGAGGCGAGGACAGTGTCTGCCTCGCACGATCACGGAGCCCTGTCTGTCTGCGAAGTTGGTTATATTCTAAAACCACCTTGGGGAGAAGCGGATCCAGTGGTCAGGTCGTGGGAAGGCGATTTGAAACTTGAGGGCAGTAAAGGAAAAGTTGCTTAGACCTCTGATCTGAAAAATGACACTCGCTTTAAATCACTCAGATTTTGCTTTAAAAAGACTGTTTCCTTAAAACATCTCTCTAAATAGATGCGGGGTGGTGGTTCTGTGTCAGAAGGGGCTGTGTAGAGGTTTTAACTTTGTTTTAAATTGTTATTGGAAAGAGGAAATTGTATGAGACTGATTTCTGTAAGAAATCAGAGATGGAGATGGAAAGTAAGTGGTTAATTTCCAGCCGAGAAAAGTAACATCGTGTGTCCTGATGTTTATGAAAACAGTGCCTTAGCAGTGGTGGGTGTTAGAGACCCTTTAATAAAACTTCCCGAATATTGAACACCTCACTGCCAGGAACAGCGTCTGGTGCTTTATATAAACCATTTTATGTGCATAGGAATATTGGTTCCTGTAATATTTATTATCTGCCTACTAGGAAAAGAACCAGTGTTCAGAGAGACTTGTTCAAGGTCTTGTGATTTTAAGTGATAACACTGGCATTGCATCCCAAAAGCTGCGTCCTTTGCTCTGTGACGTTCAAGTCTGAGTATCAGAATCAACTGGGGAATTATTTTGTTTTTGTTGTTGTTGTTGCTGCCGTTAGAGATGGAACCAGGGCCTCACACATTAAGGAAGTAGTCCACTACTGAACTATATTCCTTCCCTCCCTCCCATGCCCACCAGTGTTTTTAAATGTGGATTTGTAAGATTATCTCTTCCTCCATTACTTGGTAGGGCCAGTGTCACCTTAAAAATGTTAGTCTCAGTTTTAACCTCTGACTTCCAAATTCTTTTTTTTTTTTTTTTTTTGAGACAAGATCTCTCTATGCAGTTCAGGCTGACCTTGAGCTCACTTTGTAGTCCAAGCTGGTCTCAAACTCGCAGTGATCCTCCTGCCTCAGCCTCCTGAGTTCTGGGATTACAGGCTTGCACCACCACGCCTGGCTATGACTTCCAAATTCTTGGAATCGCTAGCCTTCTCCAGTATTGAAATCTGGCCTGCCCAGGATCCCTTAAATCTAACCCTCCTTTTTTTTTTGTACGGGAAATCAACTGAGGACCTCACCCTTGCCAGGCAGGTGCTGTGCTGCTGAGCTATATCCTGGAGCCCTAAATCTGACCCCTATTGCAAAGTTCTCTGCTTGATTCCAGGGTTAACACACATACACATAGGACATACCCTGTGCCAGATACTGTACTGCTGTTTTTTGAGTTGGAGAATGAGGGTTGAAGTCCAGGCCCCACGGGGTTTGTTTCATTGCTCACATCAGTCTCAGTTTTATTTCTCCCCCTCCAGCTGATGTTTTTCAAATTAATATAATCATTTTCCTATAGAAAGACTTAGGTATCCTGAGACTTCAAAATCTGAGTACATTTTTAAGCTTACATCTTCTCATTCCAATGAGAAGTTATATAACATATGGGCTTCTGGGTCTAGCTGGGCCATCTAGTTTAGTCCAAGACAGCTGTGTAGCAAAAATAGAATTGATTCAAAGATTTATACAGAAATTAGGGTAGGGAAAACTGAAAATCTGGAGATAAAGCCTGATAAGGAAGGATCTTTTCCTCAATTTTAAATTGCAGGTGTACCTTTCGGGTTTTGGGAAATTTGAATGAGCGTTATTCTAAACATGAAACCTCAGAGCAATACAGAGGAAGGTACAGAAGCTCAGGAAGGAAGATCTAGATGATGCAGCTAAAATGAGAAGTCAGGCAATGAAACCCAGCTTCTCTGGAGAAAGAACCATGCATTTTCTTTTGTGCTTCAACTTCTTTATTCTTCTGCAATCACCGTTACGTTTAGTAATGGTGAGGGAGAGTGGTTAAAAACTTAGATTTGTTTATCAGATGCCAGAGTGACACCATTTTGCATATGTCCACATTTCTCTTTCCTCCCACATCTGAACATTTTTTAGGGGAGCAGCTGAATGCCTGTGTATAGTCCATGTCAGTCTAGACTGCTGGGTGGGTGGAGTGAGTTCCAATTTTTATGTTTCTTGTGCTTTTTTTCGCTCGTTTTTCATGGTAAATGCCAAAGTAATTATAATCCTTGACCAAAATCCGATAAAGCTTGAGACAAGGAGAGATAGAAAATAAACCAGCTTAGAGGGGAAAAAGTAGTTTCTTTTCTGTTAGTCTGTTTGCAATACATAGTAGTAGGAACTACGTTTCTGCCGGGAAGTTGGTACCTAGACATAGCCTATCTTCATCATGTTTTACTTCCTTTCCCTCACTCAGCTTATTTTCAAGTTGCCTTTAGAGGAATTCAAGACAGACAAGATACCTGCACTCATGCAATTTACAGTATAGTGGGGAAAATAGAAAAATAATAATTGCAGATTTAAAAAAATTGTAAGTAGGTGGTGGATCAAAGAGAGTGTTATGCCGGGCATGGTGGCGCTCGGGAGGCTGAGTCATGAGGATCATTACAAGTTTGAGATCGGCCTGGTGAATTTAAAGCCAGCCAAAGCGGCACAGTGAAACCCTGTCTCAAAAAGACAAAAAGAAAAAAAAAAATGTGTTGTGAACCATCATTTGGGGTTTGTTTTTTTGTTTTGTTTTGTTTTGTTTTGAGACAGGGTCTCGCTATGCAGCTCAGACCAGCGTTGAGCTTACTTTGTAGCCCAGGCTGATCTTGAACTCTGGTCAGTCCTCCTGCCTCAGTCTCCCAAGTGCTGAGATTACAGGCGTGCGCCACCATGCCCAGCTGAATCATCATTTTGGCTAGTAATGACCAAAGAGCATTTTTTAGAAGAGATTATGACCTTTTTAAAAGTTAAGTTTATTGGTACCTTTAAGGTATACATAATAAGCATATTCATCATAGAGAATCTGTAGCTGTACATGATATAACTGGATTCTTTTTCTCCCCATTCCCCTCCCCTCCCTTCAGCTCTTCTTTCCCTCCTTATTTACAAAAGCTTTGTTTCCATTTTTTCTTCTTTTCTCATTTTTTTCTTTGCCCTTTCTTCCTTTCCCCTTCCTCCCTTCCTAGTTCCCTTTCCCATTTGAACATTTAAAAAGAGATGACATTTGAGCTGACGTGCAGTGTGAGCTTGTGTTAGCTTTGTGCAAAGCCCAGGTGACATTCCAGGCCTGGGAACGAGTGTAGAGACTGGAAGGCCAGGTGTGGACTTGGAGAGAAGCCTCCCTTGGGAGCACAGGAGGAGATGCAGTTGGTGAATCCCGCGGGACCTCTTGTCCTGTGCTACAGAGCCGGTTTCAGATTTGATTCCAATGGCAAATAAGAAGCTATTGAGGGCCGGGGATATAGCTCAGTGGCACAGCACCTGCCTGGCAGGCACAAGGTCCTGAGTTTGATTCCCGGTTCCAAAAAAAAAAGCTATTGAAGGATTTTTTGGGGGGTTGGTGGTAGCTTTTTTTCCAGTACCGGGGATCGAACTCACAACCTTGCGCTTGCCAGGCAGGCGCTGTGCTGCTGAGCTAAATCCCCAGCCCCTTAAAGGATTGTGATTAGGGTGTGATTTGTGTTCAGCTGTTTTGGGGTTCTGGGGATTGACCCTGGACTTCAGGCATGCCTAAGCAGCACTCCACCACAGAGCTGCATTCCTAGCCCTTGCTTTCTTTGTTTTCCTTTCTTTTTTTTAGACAGAGTCTTACTGTGTTGTCCAGGCTGGTGGCCTCAAGTAATCTTCCTGCCTCAGCCTTCTGAGTGCTGGGACTACAGGCCTGCACCACTGCTTCTGGCTTCTATTTTTTTTTTTTAGGGGTGCTACTGGGGACAAGTTAGGGGTTCCCTACCACTTAACTACCAATCCCTAACCCTTTACATTTTTGTTTTATTTTGTATTCTTGTCTTTTTGAGACGGTTTCGCTATGCAGTTCAGGCTGGCCTTGAATTCACTTTGTAGCCCAGGCTGGCCTTAAACTTGTAGTGATGCTCCTGCCTCAGCCTCCCAAGTGCTGGGATGAGAGGTGTGCACTACCACACCCTGCAAGCCCTTTACATTTTATATTAAGATGGTCTCAATCATTTGCCCAGGCTGACCTAAAATTTGCCATCCTGCCGCAGCCACCGTAGTGCTGGGGTTATAGGTACATGCCACGATGTCCTGTTTTTGAATATCTGTGGCCACTGAACAGAGGGGGAAGTTAAGCTATGGCAAGGCAGCCCGGAGCAGCCCGGAGTGACCTGTGGTAGCTTAGGCAAGCAGAGGGTCAGTGCAGATGGGAAGGGGTCAGATCTACTGGGAGGTGGAATTGGAGGATTTGCATATTGGGTTGGCCCTTGCGCAGAGCGGGGAGCCAAGGGTGCCTTTGGGGTTTTGGTCCAGATCTTGAGTAGAGCATGGTGCCTTCTGCTGTGTGGAGAAGATTGGAAGAGGGAGGTGATGAGGGGCGGGCACGAGTTCTTTTTTTTAAATACTCCTGAGCCATCACCCAAGTGGAGTTGAGCAGGCAGCGGGCACCCACGTAGGCCTGTGTGGATGTGAGCGTTGGGCGTCCCTGTGTACAGAGGGCGTGCGTGGAGCCAGCTGAGGTCGTCCGTGACCCTGGAGGCCTTAGACCAACCTGCAGCACTTCTCATGGCTGAAGGTCAGGCGAAGGAGCCCGGAAAGGCTCGGTCGTACCCTAACAGAGAGGCTGTGGTGGCCGCCTCCGTTACAGGCCGCTAGGAGTTAAGCAGTGAGGGTAGAGCGGTGTCCACAAGGGGTGACTGTGTGGAGAGTTTGTTTCGGGGTGCATGGGAGTGGGGGCCAGATTGGGAAGAGTTGAGGGAGAGAATCGGAGTGGAGGCAGAGGCGGGAGGATCTAGTTTGAGGCCAGCTTGGACTGCATACTGAGACCCTACCTCAAAGAGGGAGGGAGGGCTTTTCTCTGTTTCCTACTCAAACCTGCTATTATGCTTCTCTTTTTCATGAGGTGCCTGTGCCCTGACAGGCCGAGAGGATAAGTAACAGTAAAGCGAAACTAGAAAAAAGGAGGGGAAGGGATAGATGTCTACGATCCTGACCGAGAAGACCCAGAGTCAATTGTTGGGGAGCAGGCTGAGGAAGCGGCAGCTCTGGGGAAAGCAGCGTGAGCGGGCGCATGGGGAGAGCAGCGGCAGACGCCAGCTGTGTGCTGAGCTGTGCCCTGGTGTGTGGGGCGTGGCGTTCAGAGCCGCGGTGCAGACTGGTGCGTGGGGGCGCTGCGCAGCGGGGGCAGTATGGACTGGCAGGAAGCTTGAGCTGGGCCTTTCCAGCCTGAGGGATCTGGTTGGGTGGAGCTGGGGCACTGCTGGATCTAGTGCTCTAGGGAAAGGTGGGGCATTGCCACAGCTGAGCTGGGAAGGTAGACTGAAGGTCCCAGGAGAGCAGCTACAGCTTTGGTCAGGTCCTCCTTAACCCGTATGCGTCCATCTAGGAAGGTATCCCCTCAGCCCTCTTACACCCAGGTTCCCCTGAACCCTGACTTCTTCAGTTTATAAAGTTGGGCCCAGCGTGGTGGTGCGTGCCTGTAATCCAGCACTCAGGAGGCTGAGACAGCAGGATCCCTGCGAGTTCAAGGCCAGCCTGGGCTACATAGTGAGACCCTGTCTCAGAAACAAAATTATAAAATTATGGTTTGTTTAATTATTGAGTTTTCTAAAATAAAGTTGTGAGATTGACGATTGTCTGTTTTTGTGGATTCTTTGGGTCTGTTTTGAAAACACATGCAACACATTTCCTGAAACCAGAGGCCTGGTTGTGGGCGTGGAGTGAATAAGGTGTCAGTGAGCTGCCCTCCTAGCAATAGCGATATGGAAGTCCATGTCATGGAAGTCTGTGTCACTTCCTTGTATCATCAGGAATTAACTTTGTGGCCC